CCTCTCCCTCCCATCCCTGGTAGTGTGGAGACATAGGAGATTTAAAAATACATATATTGTTATAAATAAGTACATATAAACACATTTTTTGTGTTTCAACCATTGCAGTTATTATCCTATCGATGTTCAAAGTATTTCACCTGTGACCAGTGGGCACCTTCAGGTTGGCGTCTGACTCCTTTTGACCTGACACTCGTGGTCTCAGGTTATTTGCTTCCTGTTATGACAGAATGTTTCACAGCTGCCTTGCACACTTCCTGCCCTAGGCCTGGACTCCACCATCCTTCCGGGGGACCATGCGTACCTTTAGTGGGAAATGGTATTTAGAAACCACTAGGACATTAACAGTTCTCATTGCTACTTGGGTTGGTCATCACTGCTAAGCCTTTTTAGTCGACAAGGCTCAGAAAAATAGATATCTTTAAACATGAAATGCCTCGAGTTCATTCTCAAATTTTCTTTTTTTTTTTAGCTGAGCCATCCTGCCACCTGTTGGCAGCTCAGCAGCAGCTCAGCTCAGGCCGGGAATCGAACTGCTGTTGCTCCGAGTTCACACTCTTGAGCGAGCTCTTAACCAACTGAGCCACTCGGCCGGCCCCATTCTCAAACTTTTGATTCAGATTCACACCTGTGGGTTTTTACTTAGTCTCATCAATTTTACATCTGTATTTCCTTTTCCATGTCAAAACTCCTGGCTCTCAAGAATACCAACGTGATTAATCCATTTGCTTTAGCCCACAAGAGTCTTGAATCTCAAAAACGTGCTGTGTGAAAGGAGCCAGGCACACAAGAATGGGTGTCACCACCAGCCCTACCAGTGCCACCAAGGCTGGGACAGTGCTGTGTTGCTTGCCAGGCGACTGGACTGTGGCACACAGTATCACTGGTCACTGGTGACTGAATATGGGAAGACTGGTGACTGGTCCTGGGTACGATTTCTGTTTTTGACAGTTTTTTGTTTTGTTTTGTTTTGTTTTTTGCTTTGAGCAGATCCTTCTAGAGAGCTTTTGTATTTTAAAGCCCTCGGAATAGTTCCTGTCTGGATGTATGCCAGCAACAGGACCCTCTTAGAATTCACTTTACTTCTAACTTTTAGGGAATTGATTTTTCAACATCTCAATTTGTGTTACAGTTATGTAAAATATTTAAGCAATTTCCAAATCAAACCTACTAAACAAGATACATTCAAGGAAGTCTAGCTTCTACCCGTCTCTTGTAGGTAGCTCTTTTTATACATATGCTTCTCTTTCTAGTTTTAAAATATAAACACCTGTGTATATATTTACCCTACTCATAGGGTGAATTTAAGAGAATAAATTTTCAAGAACACTTGTTATAGAGCAATCTTGTAATGTGAGCTACAAAACCCCCAATATTTGGAATTATGTGAGCAGTATGATCACAAACCATCTCAAACAACTGCCTCCCCCCCCCAAAAAAAAAAAACCCAACAATAAAAAATAACAAAAAACCAAGAAACTCACTGCCCACAAGATAAGGCCAGAGGAACTGAATGTCAAGACGTTAAATTTGTTTGTAGTTGGATAGTTCCATCTTGGGTATCCCCCCCATCCCCTATCGCCTTTCTGTCTGTTTGGCATTTTCCAGTTATTGCCACAGTCTCATCTTTTACATTCTGAATGAAAAACTGTCCTCCCCACACCCCAAAGGGGAACCGAGGCCCTCCTGGAGAGGGGGTCATGTTAATCCCGGCTTCTCCTTTGGCCGATGCCGGAGCTATGGGGTCTTGGGGGGTTGGGGCTAGGATTTTGAATTCCTAGAGGGTCGTCTGCTGAGGCTGTGGTCCCCGCAGCTGTCCAGTCCCTCACAAGCATCTGTGGCCCTGGGTAGTTGATAGCCAAGGAATCGTTTTCTGTGGTGGCTCCAAGCACATGTGGCAAAGCTGAATCTTAATTACCACCCACATTATCATTCTCCCTTTCACCCTCAAATGTCATTTCTGTCTCTCCCCTTGACAGACAGTTGAGTGGCAATTGCATGTTCTTAACACCCCCCCACACCCCCACCCCACCATGTTTCTAAAATGGCCCTTGATGCTTTTTGAGCCTCAGGATGTGTGGATGTTTTAAAGCAGTATTTCAACATAAGGCCATTTCAAATGAACTGTGTCTTATGCACAGGTGATAATTCTCTGTTCCTGCCTCTTTATTTTTAATGAAAAATGCCTGTGAGGAGCTATCTTGCTGCTGAAGTGCCAGGCTGCGGCAAACCTTAAATTTCTCAAGCCGCTTTAATCAATAAAGTTATCACCGGTCATTTCCCTTGATAACTGCTTTTTCCCGGACCTGGACTTGCTCCTTGCTGCTGAGGACGTTTCAGCCTGCACTGGGAATGGATATAACCCGCCCCCCCAAATCCAATTTTCATTTTAGCCTTTCTTTGGTAGCCTAGAAATAACAGATTGCTGGTATTACTCTTAAAAAAATTTTTTTATAAGAGTTTCTTGGAGCCCCAACTGACGACATATGCTGGGAGCAAGATCTCAAATGCTCCCTGGTTTTACCTAATAGATGGGGAATTCAGACCTCTTAGAGGTGACCAGGACCTTTCTAGGATTCAGTAGTAAGACAAAAAATAACTTAAAGGTTATTTATAGAAAAACCTAATTCTCATGGTTTAGGTCTTCTGAATCAGTGGATAGTTTTATTGCTTCATACTAAAGCCCAAATAATGTGAAGGTTTTGGCAGTTTCCATAATCCTAAGAAGTGCCATCAGTGGCAAATGGTGCAAGTTCCCTGGAAATTGGGACTGTTCAGAGCAGAATGCTAGTTAGCGCCAGGAGCCACCGTGTGGCAGCCTAGAAGCTGTGTGCGCCCATTTCACAGGTGAGCCTGGCGCTTGCAGGGGAAGGACCGTGGATGCTGGGAGCACCACATGTGCTGGGCATACCCGGGTTCTGTGACGTGCCCATTTATGTTATGAAGTCCTTCCTCCAGTCCCCTGTGGTAGATGCTTATGTTTCCATCTTAAGGTTAAGACAGGGTTTCTCAGCCTTGGCACCATTTACATTTTGGAACCAGATTATTCTTGGTGATGGAGGCTGTGTAGGATGCTTACTAACACCCCCCATCCCAGCTGTGAAACCACAAATGTCCCCAGACATTGCCAAATGTCCCCAGGGAGCCTAATCGCCCCCAGTTGAGAACCACAGCACTTGGGAACAGTCACAGGAAAGTCTAGCATTAAACCTAAGATTACTCTGCTGACGAGGAGTGAGGCCGGGACCCAATCTCCTCCAGGTCTCTGCTGTGCCCCAGTTCTCAAGGAGGGGCCAGCGACTTACCAGAATTTTTAGGTTTGGCAAATGAAGTTTGAAAAGACCTATTTAGTAGTACAATATCATTGTCTCTTTTGAAAAATATTGAAGTATATATTGTTGGCAGAATACATACTATAGAAAATAAAGTTAGACAGGATCTTGGGTGGTGAGGGTAAGCACCCTCAGGATGGCCTATGCAAAATGGGGTGAGGCTTGTGGGTTTATCCAAGGGAGACTGGGCATAAAGCATGGGCTTTGCCCCCTCAGTTTGCTCCCAGGCTCTCAGGGCATTAATTCTAGCCGTGGGGCTAGGAGGACAGTCTGTTCCCCGGGTGGGGATGCCTGTGGGTGGTCAGTGAACATGCACCCATCTCTCGTGGCCTCCTCCCCCTCAGGTGTGCCTGTGGAAGGCCTGTCCCTCCCCTTTGTCAGCGGAGCCCCACCCCTGGCCCAGGCACTGCCCCTCTGCTCTGTGCAGTCTTTGGGTGTCAGTTCAGGGAGGACTTGCTGGGACAGTGTGAGCCTGGAGCACCTGCGGAGGCAGGGCTGAGAGGAACAGCCCATCCACTCACACAGCCTGGGTTGAACGTGAAGCCCCAGCACAGGCCGAGCACCGGGGCAGCGGGGCTGGAACACGGCAGTTTCAGGGAGTTCCAGCTCTGAGGTTGCCTTTGTGCTGTATCTCTTGGCCATCAGGTGTCTTTAAGACCTGTCTTAGTTTTTCCCAAGACGTTTTCTCCCTTACAGCCTTTTTTAGTAGATTTTAG